CTCTCTCTCTCTCTCTCTCTCTCTCTCTCTCTCTCTCTCTCTCTCAAAAATAAACAAACATTTAAAAAAAGTGTTTTGTGCAGAGGTGCTTTGAAAATATACAAATATCCCATTCTTCATCAAACTTTATGTAATTCATTTATTTGTAGCAGCATGGGCTGCTTTTTCAGTGGATTTTAATCTGTTACTATCATTATATGTTTTGATATTACACTTATCCCTGATTTGGTGAGTGGGGGCCCTGTAGAGATTCTCTTTACACTCCACTTGACTCCCAACACCTCAAGGTGCAGCCCCTCTTTACCCAACTTGGGTTCTGACACCCTGTGCTGAACTGCCTCCCTCACCCTCCTGGCTGTTCTCCTTGCTCACCACCTGATGGCTCTCGGACTAAATTTCTCAGGAAGAGGAAGGTATTTTAATCATCTACTGCCGTACCTTGGACTAATTCCTCATTTTCTGCAAAGGAACCTTGTCCTTTGTTCTTTTTTGTTTTCATTGGATATAAATTGACCACCGCTTTGGGTATGATAATCATTTCTTTCACTTAGCCAGTTAAGTAATTCTGTTACTTTTATTTTAGGTGATGCCAACTCCTTTAACATCTGTATCTAAATTCTGTTTTCTAGGCTTCAGTCCTTCTTTTGCTAATATTAGAATGTTTTCAAATTCCTGTATCCCTTATAAAAATATAGAAGTTTCCTGCATCTTCTTTCATGTGTTGTGTGTGTGTGTGTGTGCTCTGTAAAATAGAGCTCTTTAGGTAAAATGTTGAGTATTGAGTTTTAAAGATCAATAAATGTTTTAGGACATTTTCCCAAGCGCATACTTCTAGATGCTCTGGGTACTCTCAGCCTGTTTAACACACATAGACTACGTGCACACATTAGTTCATAATAATCAAATTTTGGGCAGGGGAAATAATGAAGAATATTATCATTATTAATTTTACTGACTATTCTTTAGAACGTAAAAACAAACATGGTAAAATAAAAGAGCATAGATGAGTGGCAGAAAATATTTCTGCTTGTTTGACTTTTACCATCCTTATTGCTGAGGGATATCCCTGTACTTTTAGAAGTGTTTTTAAATCTCTAGTGTTTCACAATAAGCGAAAGGGAATGGCTTCTGTATTCCACCCCACAACCATTAATAACATCAACATTTTATTTATTTATTTATTTATTTATTTATTTTTAATTTTTT